CACTGAGGAACTTTTGGATGTAGCTGCCATGCATGGGACGACGACTGGTAGAGATATATTTGAGGCTGTGGAGAAATCTATAAATAATTTTAAATTACCCTGGGAAAAGTTGGTGGGGCTAACTACCGATGGCGCACCTTCAATGTGCGGAGAAAAGAAAGGCTTGGTTGGACTAATGAAGGAAAGAATGCAAAAAAGTCACTGCCACACACCCTTGATTATTTATCATTGCATTATCCACCAAGAGGCTATGTGTGGAAAAGTTCTGGACATGAATGACATAATGACCACAGTCATTAAAACTATTAACTTTATACGGGCACGTGGCCTGAATCATCGCCAGTTCCAGCAGTTTTTACAGGAGGTGGGTGCAGAGCATGGAGACGTGCCATACCACACAGAAGTAAGATGGCTGAGCAAGAGCGCAGTCCTCAAAAGATTTTTTGAGCTCAGAGAACAAATTGCTCTTTTCATGGAAAGTAAAGGAAAGCCCTTGCCTGAACTGTCGGATCCCGCCTGGCTATGTGATTTTGCTATGATGTGTGACATATGCGAGCATCTCGCCCAACTGAATCTGAAGCTGCAGGGACGCAAACAAGTCATCACGAAGATGTCTGACATGATCACAGCATTCCAGCGTAAACTTCAACTATGGAAGTCCCAACTGGAACAGGACAATCTTGCCCACTTTCCCGTTTGTTTGAGTATCTCAACCACTATTTCTGGTACTTTTCCTTGCAGTCGGCTGGCTACCAAAGTTAGCCGTTTACTAAGTGAATTTGAGCGGCACTTCTCTGACTTTAGAACACAGCACTCAGGCTTTGACATCTTTGCCAATCCTTTTACAGTTGATGTCAACAATGTGCCGCATCACCTTCAGATGGAGATAATCGAGCTCCAGTCTGACAGTGGCCTGAAATCAAGGTTTCAGGATGTTGAAATTGAGGACTTCTACCCTCTACTGCCCCCTGACTCAATGCCAGAGCTCCGACTTCATGCTGCCCGTATTCTATCCATGTTCGGGAGCACCTATCTTTGTGAACAGATGTTTTCAATAATGAATCTGAACAAAAACAAGCACAGATCACGCATTACCGATGACAACCTCCATGCTGTTTTGCGGGTTGCTACAGCCCAAGAAATAAAACCGAACATTGACTCATTGATCCGGGGAAAACGGTATCAGACATCTAGCCAGAAAACAAAACAATGAGCATTTTAGGTACATTCCAATATTACTGTTTTGCTTGATACCAATATTACTGTTTTGCTTGATAGCATGTGAGTTGGTTAACAGCACTGTTAAGGAAAAGATTGTTCCACTCATTTTAAATTCACATTTCTGGTTAACATTGTCAGTTTATGACTGTTCAGTAAACCATTCGGCCCGCGATTTAGGCTGGATTTTAGATTTTGGCCCCTTCTCTGATTGAGTTCGACACCCCTGCACTAGACTGACAGAAAGTGAAAAGCTGACAATAGCAGGGTGGGTGCGCTTGCCTGCTGGTGGGAACGTGTGCTGGTGCAAACAGTTGCGGCTGCCTCTCCTGGTCTATGTGTACTAGGACGTGTGTGCAGAAATGAGCAGTTTGTAACTGTCCCAAACTGGAGACAACCAGGAGGCCATCAAAATAGACTCCATTGGAAGTAAAATTCTACAGGCAGAAAGCAATGGAAGTGCCTGGACTCAGGCATGATGCTGGTAGTCTCCCTCCCAAAATGCAGTGTGACTCCATTCCTCTGAAGCTCCCAGCGGAGAAGGGAGTTCTGCATCAGAGCTGTCAAACCAGGATGAGCAGGGACACCGCGGCTGCCATGCCTGCTCTCCTGGTTTCCCGCCCACCTCAGGCTCCCTGACGTGGTGCGGGCTCGTGCTGGCTGCGGGAGGGTGAAGAGGTCACCTTGCTGGAGAGGAGGACACAGGCTGAGACCTCGCAGGGGCTCAGGAAGCCTTTCTAGGCTCCGGGCGCTCTGCCGGCTCCTCCGCCGCCTCCGCCGGGGCCTCTGCAGTGTGTGTGGGTTCTGGGGTGAGGCAGACCACCGCTGAGGTTTGGCAAAGCTGCTATTAAATTGGTCAGCCCGCGATTGCAGAGAAGTACCTGGTGCAGCGTGGCTGTGTCCGGGCTTTACCCGCTGAGAGGGATTTGCTGGAGGAGGCGGCTTCCAGCCGAGGCTTCCAGCTGGAAAAGGAGTGGGCTCTGTGCAGAGGGGATAATGCTGGCAAAGGCTCGGAGGGCCGGGCAGGAAGGAGTGTGGTGCATCGTGAGGCTGAGAGGGGGGTCTGCCTTGGCCAGGCGTGGAGTCTGAGGTGGGAAGGGGCAGGAAATGAGCCTGGAGACAAGACTGGCCGAGGACCTGGGGCCTCGCAGGGCGTGGCCAGAGATTGGCCTGTCTCTGGGGCACCTGACGCCAGGAGAGGTGTGAAACAGGTGGCTCTGGGAGTGTGTTTGAGGGACTAACGGCACTCAGCAAGGGAGACAGGCTTCAGTAATGTGGAGGGCCTTGAGCGTTGCATAACCCCCACAAGTGGCTCTGGTTTCAGCTTCTAAAGAAAAGTTTGCTCAATTGTGTCCCAGATTTAAGCTCTGGGAGGTCAGGACTTTGCCATATTTGATAGGCATGCAGAACATGCCTAGTGACCTATTGGATGAATGATGCCACCCTTAAGTGGGGTTCCTACAGGGCGTGGAGCTCTCGGGAAAGTACTTTGGAATTGCAGGGAAGAAGGGGATCTTGTTTGGAGCCTCAACCATGAGCTCGAGAAGCAGGCTGGAGGCTGGATGCAAACGCAGGCCCCTCCCCTTGCCCTCCAGGCCTTGAAGTCCACATCTGGGTTCAGCGTCTTCCTGGTTCCTCCCTGGCAGTCGGAGCCCGAGGAGCCCGAGGAAGCAGGCGGCAGGCAGGAAGGTGCAGGGTGGCAGAAGCCACAGGAAGTTGAGGGAGAGTTTAGCACCTGCTAGGGCAGAGGCTGACAGCTGCTAGGAAGCAAGGGGCCTCGGGAATGGGGGGTGGGAGAGCAGGTGTCTGCCCAGAGGTGTGGCATTCCTGGCCTGGCGCTGCGGAGCCCATGGCTGAACGGGATGGCCACCCACACTGACTCCTGGCCGGAACCCGGTCCAGGTGCACAGAGCGGCCTTCCTGCGGTGCTCGCTGTCCCGGGCTGGGCGTGCAGCCCGCGGTGGCGTGAGCATAGCCGTTTGTCTCTCGTCGGGTGTCACGCTCTGACATGCCCTGGACGGGCAGTTTGTCTTCAGCTCCTCTGACCCACGCAGTGCTCTGGCGTGTGGCCTTGGCTCTTCCTGGTGATGAGTGCCGTGGCCTCTCCACTCGTGGTTTTGAACGTCTTTGGTCCCACAGAGCTGGGTGGAAAGCTGGCCTTCTCCTCAGGTTTCCTAACTTGCTGTTGTGGAGCGTTTAAAAGTAAGTCATGGTTATGCAGCCTTGAGCACTGCAGCCCACACTGCCTAAAGTATGGACATTCTCCCAGCCTCAGTCAATACCATTTTAAAAATTAACAGTAACTTCATAATGTGATTCAACACTTAGTCCTTTGTCAAATTTCCTCAGTTTTCCCAAAACGATTTTTATGCCTCTTTAAAACAACAACAAAACAAAGCAGGAGATGCCTGGCTTGTGTGGCTCACTTGTTGAGCATCAACCCATGAACCAGGAGGTCATGGTTCCATTTCTGGTCAGGACACAGGCCTGGGTTGAGGGCTTGATCCCCAGTAGGGGGCGTGTAGGAGGCAGCTGATCGATGTTACACTCTCATATCAATGTCTCTTTCTCTCGCTCTCTCTCTAAAAAAAAAATCTTTAAAAATGGATTCTATATAATAAAAGCGTAGTATGCAAATTGTCCCCTTGACTGGGAGTTCGTCCAGGAGTTCGACCAGGGGGCCGAGCTGGCCAGGGGAAGGAAGGGAGGCCTTGCCCTCTGCGGATGTCGCGCGCGCCCCCCCTCCCCCCCGCCTGCTAGGGACCTTACCAGTGCGCGAATTTTGTGCACTGGGCCTCTAGTAAGTAAAAAGAAGGGCAGGCCAGTTTTTGTGCGGCATGTCCTATCTTTTGGACTCAGCTGATTGTTTCCTCACGATGTGTTTTAGCTCATTGCTCTCTCCCTCAGATCTGTCAACTGGAAGTTAGGTCTAAGGCCTGGTTCAGTTCATTTGGGTCTGTGGCAGGACTGCTTGCAAGGTAACGTGCCAGTCACAGGCGCCACAGGGCCCCTGCGGGGGCAGGTCGAGGTGACCGCGGGCTCCTCCGTCAGGGTGCATGGGAAGCACTAGCCCAAAGGCAGGTACTTGGGCTCCTGGGACTGCGCTGTCCCCAGCACTTTCCTGGGGGCACACTTTCCTGCTGTGACACCCAGGAAAGATCCTGTCCCATCCTGAGGATGTTTTCCAATCGGCCACCCCTCCTCACTTACTCGCCACTCTTCTCTGTGACCCCGGGACCGCTTTACTTTTTGAATACGTACGGTGCCTGGGTTTAAAGCTGCTCAGAGCCATGTGCCCGGCGGTAGGAGGCTGTGCCCGCGAGGGCGGGGCCTGGCTGGCTTGCAGGCTGGTGGGCGCTGTGGCTGATCTTCAGTCCTCTCTCCTCCCGGGAGCTGCAGCAGAGGGAAGGCCAGTGCCAACAAGCAAAGGAAATGGCCTCCACCTTTAACCTCGGGGACTTCCACTGGTGCCGGCAAGGAACTCCCAGCCTGGGACCCTCTTCTCCGCAGCTCGGCCCCGCAGGCAGGCAGGCAGGCAGGCAGGGAGCTGGCCCGCTGGCCTGTGACTGTGCTAGCTTCCTGTCCTAAACTTCTGTTACCTTGTTTGCTGGTTACATTACTCCACCCGCCCCTTCCTTTGAGCTTCGTGCGCACCTCTTTTCCCCCTGTTGCGTCCCTCCCCCTCCGAGCGGAGCGTGCAGTGGCCTTGCTGGCCACCCGGAGCGCTGACGTCTCACTTCAGGTCCTCATGAAGTGGACATCACATCCACGCTTTGTTGTCCTTCGGGCCTTAGAGCCGGGGCTCATTCCTCGCTCATTCCTGTCCCTGCATGAAAGGGCACGAGGCCGCTGGGCTCTGTTGCGATGGCCTTTCAGCGGACACAGTCCTATGGCACTGCCAGCCGGCACGCGTGAGCTCGCTCCGGCCTCGAGTGGCCCGTGTGCCCCTCTGCCCTCTGTTGCCCTCTCCGTGCTGGACTGCTCGGTGCGGCCAGGATTCACCGCAGAGCCAGTTCCTCCCTCGCTGCGCTTTCCGTCTCGCTCTGCCTCGAGCTCGGAACACTCCGGGCTTGGAGCCAGGGTGTGCATTCTCTCCTAGACTTCTGTGAGTGCGTGGTCTCAGGGTCAGCACTCGCAGCATAATGCTTTCACTCAGCCCACTCAGGAAACCTGGAAGGTAAGTTCACCTCCACTTCAATGGGGCTCCCAGGCTGAGTTCTAGAAGAGTTCTCTGTTGTCCACAGGGTCAGGAAGTGGGTCAGGGCGGCACAGGTAAACGGACTGAAGTCCTCCGTGCGCAGCTGTGCGCAGCGGGGTCCGGGCCCTCTGCGCACAGTGCGGGCACGGCTGGCATCCCTGCCTTTGGCTTCCGTGGGCCCAGCCGGGACAGTCCTCCTTTTCCTCGCAGAGCGGCCGGGCCAGCTCTGAGGAGGCACAGCTGGGAGCGAGTCCAATGGTCAAGGGGTGCTCTGCAGGCCCCAGTCGAGTCTCACTGTCTGGGCACCAGAGCCAGACCCAAAGCCCAGGCCAGGGACACGTCTGCGCAGGAAGTGCCAGAGCCCACCCTGCTGGTGCTTCTGGGTCTTGTAAGGAGCCCCAGTGCTCAGTCTGTGAAACCTGAAGGAGTAGCTGCCTGGGGCCCCAGAGTGGCTGTGCGCCTGGGACTGCCCAGCTGAGAGCACTGCCTAGTGGACGGTGCAGGTTTGTGTATTTGTCACGAGTTTCCCAGCAGAGCCCGTAGTCCCCGTTCTGTCATAGTTGCATCAATGACGGATGGCAGGGCCTGGAGGCAGGACTGCTTTCCCCACCCCCCCCCCCTCCAGGCTGCGCCCTCCGGCCTCAGTGTCCTCATCTGTAAAGTGAGGAAAGTGAGGGGTGGGTTAGAGGTCAGTAAGCTGCTCTCGCTGCGGTTTGGTGCGCCTGTGGGAGCTGGTAAGTCTGCTGCTTGCTGGGGTGGCCCTATGTGGGCTGCCAGCTCCGCCCTCTGCTGGGTCTGCCCTTGACTCCATGTCTGGTCTCCAAGGAGCAGAAGCCCACCGGTGAGCAGAGGCCCTCTGAGCCAGGACCAAGGACAGCATGGCCACGGCCGCGCCGCTGCGCAGCCTGGAGGAGGAAGTGACTTGCTCCATCTGCCTGGATTACCTGCGGGACCCGGTGACCATCGACTGTGGCCACGTCTTCTGCCGCAGCTGCACCGCCGACATCCGCCCCGCCCCGGGGGGCCGCCCCGTCTGCCCGCTCTGCAAGAAGCCCTTTAAGAAGGAGAACATGCGCCCCGTGTGGCAGCTGGCCAGCCTGGTGGAGAACATCGAGCGGCTGAGGGTGGACAGGGGCAGGCAGCGGGGGGACGCGTCGCGGGAGCAGCGGGACGCGAGGCTGTGCGAGCGGCACGGGGAGAAACTGCACTATTACTGCGAGGACGACGGGCAGCTCCTGTGCGTGCTGTGCCGGGAGTCCCGGGAGCACCGGCCGCACGGGGCCGTGCTGCTGGAGAAGGCCGCCCAGCCCCGCAGGGTGAGCCCCCGCATGCACTGCCCGCCGCCACCGCGGGCTCCTGCCGCCCGGGGCCCGGCCCGGAACACCTGTCCCACTGCTTGTCTTTCTGCAGGAAAAAATCCTGAACCACCTGAGTATTCTAAGGAGAGACAGAGACAAAATTCAGGGCTGCCAGGCGAAGGGAGAAGCTGATATCCTGGCTGCGTTGGTAAGTGAGGCCGTGAGGGAAGCCTGAGGCCATGGCTTGGCAGCTGGCGCTCCGGGTCCTGGAGCAGGCCGGCCTGCCCAGCAGCTCCGGCCTTAGCCTGCTTCCTGCCCTGAGGGGGTTGCCTGGATGTCAGCTAAGGTCCCTCCTCCTCTGTGACTCACCTCATGTGTGGGGCCACCTCTAGCCACTCTGGCTCTCCCTTTCGGAGGAGACGAGGTTGCTGCGGCCGTGGGGCCGGCGGGCTGGAAGGAGGGCCCTGGCCCGGGACTAGAAGGAGGGCGGGCTGAGGGTGCCAGTGGGCTGCCATCGCTGCCGCGACAGGCAGCACCTGTGCGCTTGGGTAGACGTGGTGGCAGGAGGAAAACGGGCGGGCTCCAGTTTTCTGTGGGAAGTGGGCATTGCAGGGGTGTTGGGGCCAGACCTGCCACTGGGCCCTGGGAGATGGAGAGCGTGAGGCAGGAGACAGCAAAACTTCAAGGAGCACCTCCAGGCCCTGCTGTGTGTGGACGCAGCCCACCCTCTGTCAGCGGGCGCAAGGACACTGACCAGATTCCTGCCTGGACTTGCAGTGAGATTCGGAGGCAGCAAGGTCATGGTCCCTAGCACGGACCTTGTGCAGACTCGCTGAGGGCCCCGCTGGAGCGAGGGTTGGTCGGCTTGGAGGAGAGCAGTCAGCGAGTTCCTGGAAGAGGTGGCGGCAGAGATGAGTGTTCAGGAGGCCCTGGAACATACTGTTCTGGAACCGGAACAGGCTAAGCAGGCAGAGTTCCAGTCCTCAGGTCCTGCTCTGTGCCTGATCTGTGACTGACTGACTTCTTTGAGGAGGGAGGTTGGCCCAGGGATGCGCGAAAGGCCCCCATCCTGAGCTTGGGATCCGTGGCGGGAGAGGAGCCGCTGGCGCCGCGCACACGAGGTCCTGTGGGGCTTTTCCTCCGCCAGGCGGATCGTCACCCTTGTCCTTCCTCCCGCAGCAGAAGCTCCGGGAGCAGAGGCAGCACGTCGTGGCCGCGTTTGCGCAGGGCCACCAGTTCCTTCGGGAGCGGGAGCAGCACCTGCTGGACCAGCTGGCCAGGCTGGAGCAGGAGCTCGCCGAGGGCAGGGAGAAGTGCCAGGCCAGGGGCAGCGGGGAGCTGGCCCGGCTGGCGCTGGTCATCTCCGAGCTGGAGGGCAAGGCCCAGCAGCCGGCCACAGAGCTCATGCAGGTGAGAACCTTCCGGGGCAGGGCCAGGCACCAGGGCCGGGCACAGGGCAGCAGGCCCTGTCCTGCTATGGCCTGCAGGACCATGGGGATCTTGGCTTTCTTCTCTGAAACATGGGCTGATAACCCTGCTTTGCCCACTCATTCCAGTGGTTGCTTGAGCATAAAGTGTGATTGCCCGGTCTTTCTCAGCATCTGCCAGGGTTCAAGGAATCTGGAGAAGGGGCTGTGCATAAACGAATGAGAGAGACTAGACAAGAAATATGAATTTGGAAGTCATTTTGGAGGGCCAGATGGAAACTTAGTTCTGGTGACTAAGCTCTTGGAATCTCTGGACCCCCTGGCTTTTTATTAACACATTTTCCCTGTAGCAAAGATGTACATACCAAAGGTAAGGTTTGGGAAACAGTAAAGGATTATCAGGTTGGGGGAACTGCCCTTAGCTGTCTGGCAGCAGGTGATAGCATGCAGATCTTCAGCCCTGCTGAAGCCCCATGGTTCATCAGTCTTTTGATGAACTTCTTGCATAATTATGAACTGCTGGAATTAGCCTCCAGCATGCGATGGCTGGCATGGTGTCACTTCAAAGATTAAATTTCCTACAAAGTTTAAAAATATTGAGATGAAGCGGAAGGTTACCAGTATTTTCATTGGTATCTTCCATCCTCATCACCAGCATCATGAGCCTGTCTTCTGACAAGTCTCACACCCTGGCAGAGACTTGTCCATGGAAGCTCTTTGTGGCTCTGGAGCCGAAGCTGAGAAAGCTGGGGGGGAGTGTCAGAGAGGGCCGGAGGGTCAGTGTAGGCGAGTTTTTCTCTGGGCAGAGATGGACACAGGTGAGTTGCTGAGAAAGGAGGAGGCCTGGACCGGAGGGCAGACATGTGTCCCAAGCTGAAATGGCCCCACAAGTCCAAGCTCCGAGCCTCCCAGAGGAGTCGGCCCTGAGGCAGGGCTCAGCGCCGTGGGGGCCCGCCCCCCTCTGCTCTTGTGGGCCAGGGCGGCCGAGGTGGCGGTCCCTCCCCCTGCGTGGGCGGGTTGCTGGGAGATGTGTGTCGGCCTAGGAGATGCTGCTCCAGGCCAGCGGCAGGCAAGCCGGTAGCTGGTGGAGAGCGCAGGGCACATTCTTGGCATCTGGGCCAGCGCGGACCTGGGACCTGGGTGGCAGAGGCTTCGCCCTCCGTCCTCGTGAATGCAGGACTCGGACTGGTAGGGCTTTGGTCCTTCAGTGCAGCCCGCACGTGGCCGCTGAGGGCCAGAGAGCCGCCGGCGCCTCAGCCCCGCCTCTGCTCTCATGCTTTTCTCTCCTGTGTGTGTCTAGCTCCTCCCTTCCCTACGGACATTGTTCTGTTGCCTCAGCTTGCTCTCAGAGTCTGGCTGGGCCATTTGCTGCCTCTCCCCTCCCTGAATCTTTTCCTTTACCTTCAAGGACGAGTCTCCTTCCTTCCCACAGTCCCCACTGGCCCGAGCGCTGTGCATGGAGCAGAGGGCGTTGGTGCTGGCGGGACCACCTGCAGCTGCGTGTGCCCTGGGGTGCTACTTCACCCACAGGAGCTGTGTGGGCAGCGGAGGCCCAGCCTTCCGGGCTCCCAAGAGCCTCAGATGGAAGCCTTGTCGTGCTGGGGTGGGGAGAGAGGTGGGTGACAGCCCCAAGCCGGTGCAGAAAATAGACTGCTGGGTGTTGTCTGTGTTTGTTTAGATTTTTCTGGTCAGCCAACCCTTTGGTTGTCATACTTCCCAGGGTTACCTGATGCCAGTGGGCAGGAAGCCCGAGGTGCTGCAGACCGGGAGCTGGTGCCCAGGTCTGCTAGGGCCACTGGTGACAGGAAGCAGCAGGCTAACGGTGCACACAGGCTTCTGACCAGGGGACAGGAAAGGAGAGGAGGCTCTCTGGGCTGGGGACCTCACGGTGCTAAAGGGGGAAGGGAGAGGAGTGGCCGGAGGGCATGGACGTGCTCTCCGTCCAGCCCTGGGCAGACCTCCAGGTGCCCCTGTGGTTGCCTTCCTTGCTTGGGAAGAGGCCTTTGCTATGCTCTCATCCTTTCCCCTGGCGCTGCCTGCCTCACCACCTGCTGTGCGAGGCTGGGACGTGGCTGCAGGTGGCCTGCACCCTCAGGTCCCCTCCTTGTCCTTGGGGAGGAGGGTTCCTGCACTGCTGTCCTGTCCCACCCTCTCCAGCCACTCAGCACCTTTACCCCGTAAGCAGCTCCCACTGCCCATCTGTTGGCCCTTTTGCACCACATCCCTTTGCAGCCTCGGCACTCACTGCCTCAGACCTGCCACCCAGCCCTCCAGCTGCTTGGACTTCCTGCTCTGAGGAAGGAGTGGGCTCTGGCAGCTGCTGACCTCTTTCCTGTCCTTCCCTGCAGCAGACCCGCTGCCTCCCGAGGCGTTCTGAACTGTCAGCAGCAGCCACAATCGGCCGTGCTTTCGGTCCCCGAACCTCTGCCCTCCCAGGCCCTCCGCTCGGCTCTTCCTCCTGCCGCGCTCCCTGGCCCGCCTCCGTGATCCCAGCATGTACAGCTTTGTGGTGGCGACCGCTGGCTCTCCCTGCCTGCAGGTCCGCTCTAACGGGAGAGGTGGCAGCTCTTCCCGGCTGTGCCCGGCTGCTATTGCAGGGCTGGCATGTAGGAGGCGCTGAGGGTTTGTGAGTGAAATGTAGACAGCTGCGGAGGCTCTAGACTCAAGGGAATAACCAGCTCCTCATGAGAACCCCTCGCCTTCCACCCTCTGTCACCCACGGCAGCCTGGTCTCCCTCCTCCAACCATGGCCCGTGTCCCCTGCCGCGATGGCTCCGACCCATTGCGTCTCCCCGTCCACAGCAGCAGCCCCCAGGCGGCCTCCCTCGCGGAGCTCAGGACGCCGCGGGGCGGGGCTCTGGCCAGCTGCCGTGCCACACTCCGGTGCCAGGCCCGGCCTGAGCACGCTCGTTTGTCTCTCAGGAGCCGTTCCGTGGGGGGGCCTGGACTGATGGGGCTGTGAGCTCATCAGCGCTGGTGACTTCCTCTGGTTCCACTCACCTCGGGAGGGCCTTGTCCTCAGCTGTGTAAAGTGGGGCTCGCCCCCTAAAGATCAGAGGTCTCATGGCTGGAGCTTAGTCTCAGACCAGACCTGGTCACCGGGGCTGTGGGAAATGGAGTTTCTGTGGGTCCCGTCACTAACAGGAAGAAGGGAGAATGGGTCCTGGAGCCACAGCCACGTGAAGGCTCCCCTTCCTGAAACCCAGCGTGTGTGCCACGGTCCGTCCGCGGAACGAAGTTTGAGCTCCCTGCTGTCCCTGCTCAGCCTGTCCCATCCCGTCCCACCTCCCTCCTTCACTGCCAGCACCTCCCCTCGTCTGCGGCTGCCAGGCAGGGAAGCCCCCCTGCTGCACCCTGCCGGCGCCCCTTGCTTTGTTTCCTTTACCCAACACTCCACCAGAACTGCGTAGCAGGTGAGTGAGGCCCCTCCGCTGAGCCTGTGCTTTCTTCCTTCCAGGACACCAGGGACTTCCTGAGCAGGTAACAGCTTCTTCGCCGAGCGTGCCTCGCCCTGCCGAACTCCCTTCCCCTTTTCCTTGACCTTGAGCCATTTGAATGAACGGGGAGTGAAACAGTACCAAAGGTGCCCACACTCGTGATTCCTCCTGGGAAGCAACAACCACCTGAACCCGTCTCGCTGTCCACAGAGCAAGCTCTCTGGCGCCCCCCTCGGCCTGAGGGGGGAGCTGAAGGGCTCTGGGGTTGAGTCTGCTGACACTGGCAGCTCTGTCTCTGGCCTGTTCCTCTGTGTGTGTGTGTGGGGGGGGGGGGGGCAGGGGGATCCGGTTCCCCCCTCAGGCCTGTTCTGAGGGCTGAGAGGAATGTGAGAGCAGCTGAGGTTGTGTCTCCTCTCCTCAGGTACCCGCGGAAGAAGTTCTGGCTCGGGAAACCCATTGCTCGGGTGGTGAAGAAAAGGACAGGAGAATTCTCAGATAAACTCGTGTCTCTGCAGCGAGGCCTGCGAGAATTCCAGGGTGAGGCTGGGGAGCGCCCGGGCCCGAGCGGGGGGGCGCGGGGCTGGACGGGGAGGGCCGCTCTCGGGGCCTGAGGCTGCATGGAGGAGCAGTGAGCGGTGCTGGGCCCCTGCCATCGCTGTCCTCTTCTCCGCAGGGAAGCTGCTGAGAGACCTGGAATATAAGACCGGTGAGTGTCCAGCAGGGGGTCCCCCGGAGATGTGGCTGTCCCTGCGGGCGTCCCCTCGGGCCACAGGAGAATCTCCCAGGGCAGAGCTCAGCCACTTCATCTCTGGCCACTGTCTGCCCTCCCCTGCAGGGGAGGTGCCACCACACGGTCTGGCCTTCTCTGCCCCGTGGCCGTGGCTGCGTTTCCCAGCCTCATGGGGCCTGCCTCCATCCCTTCCCTGACTCAGTTTCCTCTCATTGGCCTGGTCACATGCTTCCGTATTCGGAGCCCACTGGGGGGGCAGCCTCGGCCAGGGCGTGCCCTGCGTTGGGACACGGTGTGACTGGCCCCTGGGGTGGTGCAGTGTGGCAGCCCTGCCATGGACACCGTGGAGGCGGGTGGCCCTGTGGGCCCACGGGTGACCCTTCACCTCTCCATCCTGCAGTGAGTGTCACCTTGGACCCGCAGTCCGCCAGCGGGTGCCTGCTACTGTCGGAGGACTGCAAATGTGTGGCCTACAACAGCGGCCTGTACCGCTGTGCTTACCTGCACCCCCAGCGGTTCGACTGCGAGCCGGCCGTGCTGGGCAGCAAGGGCTTCACCTGGGGCAGGGTGTACTGGGAAGTGGAGGTGGAGCGGGAGGGCTGGTCCGAGGATGAAGAGGACGGGGACGAGGAGGAAGAGGGGGAGGAGGGGGAAGAGGAGGAGGAAGAGGAGGCTGGCTATGGATACGACAACTGGGAAACAGATGAGGATGAGGAATCGCTGGGGGACGAAGAGGAGGAAGAGGAGGAAGAGGAGGAAGTTCTGGAAAGCTGCATGGTGGGCGTGGCCAGAGACTCTGTGAAGAGGAAGGGAGACCTCCCCCTGCGGCCGGAGGACGGGGTGTGGGCGCTGCGCCTCTCCTCCGCTGGCATCTGGGCCAACACGGATCCTGAGGCCGAGCTCTTCCCAGCAGCGCGGCCCCGCAGAGTGGGCATCGCCCTGGACTACGAGGGGGGCACCGTGACCTTCACCAATGCCGAGTCGCAGGAGCTGCTGCACACCTTCACAGCCACCTTCACCCGGCGCCTGGTCCCCTTCCTGTGGCTCAAGTGGCCCGGAACACGCCTCCTGCTGAGACCCTGAGCCCGCTGCCTGCCGCCCCCACGGTCTCTGGAATGCCAGGACTGACATAGGAGGAGATGCCTGGCCCAGCACCTGATGGCGGGAGAGGAGGGACCACAGCCACTGCTGCTCCACCACTCTGCAGGGCGCCTCTTCTCCCGCCTCCTGGGCCCTGTGCCAACTGCCAACCCGGCTCCTCCCGCCCTCCCGGGCCTTTGACCCAGCCCTGCCACGTCTGCGGAGTAAGAGGCCAGGCAGCACTTTCTTGCCCAGCATAGCGTTCCGTGCCACGTGTCCTTGGGAAAGACGAGTGGACTGTCCTACCCTGGTCACTGCTGTCCCCAGACCCCACAGCTTCCCTCACCCCGTCCACCCTGCTGCCTTCCCTGGCACTTACAGAGCGGCCCCGACGCGGAGGGAAACATCTAGGAAAAGGCTGCAAACGGACGGAGGGAAAGGCAGCGAGGCCTCCCTGGCACTGGAGTCGCTGCGCGGAGATCCGTGTGGAGGGCAGAGGTCACCTTCGGAGCCCAGGGCTGTGCCGTGCGGTCCAGACAGTGGAGGTGGGGCTCCTTCCGCCACGGGGTCTTGGGGATGGTCTACTTCCTTGGCTTTGGGATGACAGTTGAGACCAGTGAACAGTAAGTGAGCTCTGGGTTGGTCCTGGTTTGGAGAGTTTGTAAACACCCAGGATGCCTTGCTCTTCGTGGTCCATCTGGAAGCACAGGGTGAACATCCCCCTGAGCAGAGCCTCCCCCCGCAGGGCTGGACCAGCTGCTCCAGTGGGGCGCTCGGCTCTGCCCGCCCCCATCCTCCGGGCTCAGGCTGGGGAGAGCAGGCAGAGGGTGTCCACAGGCCCACATGCCTTTATGTCACGAGAGGAATTAAAGCAAATCTGCCCACAAGCCCAGCCCTGGTCCCAGCCTCTGTCCAGGCCCCATAGTGCCCACAAGCTCCCTGCTCCAGCCAGATCTCCTCGAAGCTGCCCTTCCATGGCGAGCACTCTGCCTGGCCTGCCCTGAGCGGCTGCTTCCCACCGCTGGACCACAGTGCCCTCTTCGCCAGGCCACATGCTGCCTCCATCACGCACGTCTGACTTGTGTCTAGTTCTGTAAGCTCTTGGAGGGCGGGCACCGTATCTTGTATTTCTCTTTATTCTCCATGGCACCTAGTGCGGTGCTGCACAGAGCAGGTGCTCAGTAAAACCTTGGACAGCTGGGTTCCAGTGAGTTTCCTTACAACTCGGATGTCACCGGGCCTTCTCTGACCACAAAGGTGCCTTTGGCAGCAGTGGCTCAGCTCCCACCTGGGCCTTCAGAACTCAGGCTTTGCTGTCTGCCCTGCACACGCATTGTCACAGCTGGATAGCCCCCAAGGGACCCAGGCCAGCCAACACGGGTCCAGCATGTGCACAGGACAGGGCTCCCTGGGAAGTGTGTTGCTCCCCCAGCACCCCCAGATCCTTCCTTGGAGACTAAGCAGTGCCCTGAAGGATTCTAGTTGCAGTCTGACCTCAACTGACTGGCCATTTCTTTGTTCTGAGTTTTCCTCGTTGCCATGTCAGAGCGAAGGGCCACAAGTGTGTGCCTGAGACTCGCTGCTCAGACAGCACACGCCAGGACTGTTGTTGACTCATTCATGCTTTATCTTTTTGTTTATTTCTCTTCTAAATACATATATGCAAAATGTGTCATTTGTTAGAAATGAGACATGTATATCAATTAAAAAGCCCATTAATTTGCGCTGGCCGGTTTGGCTCAGTGGATAGAGCGTCGGCCTGCAGACTGAGGGATTCCAGGTTCCATTCCAGTCAAGGGCATGTGCGGGCACATTCCCAGTAGGGGGTGTGCAAGAGGCAGCTGATGTTTCTCTCTCATTGATGTTTCTAACTCTCCCTTTCCCTTCCTCTTTGAAAAAAAAAAAAATCAATAAAATATATTTAAAATAAAATAAAAGGCCCATTAATTCACATTTGAATCCTGGTAGGCAAATTAGTAGCATATTCTTGAACATTTAAATTTATTTTGTTGATAAATGAGGATTACTCTCTAAAGTGCTCTATTAATCTAACCTTTTGTTTATGGAACCTTATCTAACGGAAGAGCAATATGTAAATTAGCCATCACTCCACTACACCATAAGCCACACCTACCAATCAGGAGCAAGTATGCAAATTAACCCCAACCAAGATGGCTGCAGCTACAGAGCGAGCAGGAGGCTCCCTAGCAATGGAGGAAGCTACACTTCCTACACACCCTGGCAGGCCCAGGCCTCCACTCAAGACTACAAAGTTTCAATTATAGGAGATAGATAAATCTCAACAGAAATGGCTACTGCCATGGAGTGAGCAGGAGGCGTGGCTCTGCTCTAGGCTACAAAGGTCCAATTATAGAAAGTAAATAAATCTCAGACACCAGGGTCTCCGCTTGGAGACCGGCCTTCAAGCCACCACAGGCCCCTTGCCCAGGCTGTCCCATGCCCCAACGGAATGCCCACCCTGACCTGGACACCCTTCAGGGCAAATGAGCTGGCTCCCACCATGCACCTGGCCTCTATCCTATCTAATAAAAGAGTAATATGCAAATTGTCAATCCAACACACAATACGGATGCCCCTATGTGGCCAAAGATCCTGTCCCCATGTGGACACAAGATGGCCACCATAAGATGTCCATCAGGGGAGGGCAATTGGGAGGGAGCAGGCCTGCAAGGGAGAGCCGTTGAGGGTGATCAGGCCAGCAGGGGAGGGCAATTGGGAGGCACCAGGCCTGAAGGGGAGGGCAGTTAGGGGCAAACAGGTTGGCAGGGAAGCAGGCATCAATCAGGCTGGCAGGGGAGTGGTTAGGGACAATCAGGAAGGCAGGCAGGCAGCAGTTGGGAGCCAGCAGTCTTGGATTGTGAGAGGGATGTCTGCCTGTTTAGGCTATACAGGCAATCGGACATCCCTCAAGGGGGCCCAGATTGGAGAGGGTGCAGGCTGGGCTGAGGGACCTCCCCCACCTGCACGAATTTTGTGCACTTGGGTCTCTAGTAATGTCATCATTCTCAAAATGCCTTTTATTATTTCTTGGAAAGAATCCTACCTAATAAAAGAGTAATATGCAAATTTGCCATCACTCAGCTCCACAAAGCCACACCCACAAGCCATGCCCATCAGCCAATCAGAGAGAGTATGCAAATAAACCCAACCAAGATGGCTACAGCCACAGCAGGAGGGAGGCATTTTCCTGGCAACGAAGGAAGCCAAGCTTTCCGCCTGCCCTTGCTGGCTTAGGCCTCCACACAAGGGTACAAAGTTTCAATTATAGCCGAAACCGGTTTGGCTCAGTGGATAGAGCGTCGGTCTGTGGACTGAAGGGTCCCAGGTTCGGTTCCAGTCAAGGGCATGTACCTTGGTTGCGGGCACATCCCCAGTAGGGGGTATGCAAGAGGCAGCTGGTCGATGATTCTCTCTCATCAATGTTTTTATCCCTTTATCCCTCTCTCTTCCCCTCTGTAAAAAATCAATAAAATATATTTTTTAAAAAGTTTCAATTATAGAAGGTAAATCCAAACAGAAATGGCTGCCACCACTGAACAAGCAGGGGGCTTGGCTCCGCTCCAGGCTACGAAGTTTCAATTGTAGAAAGTAAATAAATCTCAGAAAGCAGGGTCTCCGCTTGGGTCGCTAGGGGGCCTGGCTGGTCTGCAAACCACCACAGGCCCCTCAGGCTGCCCCACGCCCCAAGGAAACCCCTACTCTGATCCAGGACACCCTTCAGGGCAAACCAGCTGGCCCCCACCCATGCACCAGGCCTCTATCCTATCTAATAAAAGAGTAATAAGCAGATTGACCATCATTCCAACACAAAATATGGCTGACCCCATGTGGTCAAAGAACCTGCCCCTCTGTGGACACAAGATGGCCAGCAGGGGAGGCAGTTGGGAGGGAACAGGTCTGCAAGGGAGGGCAGTTGAGAGGGACCAGACCTGCAAGGGAGGACAGTTGAAGGTGATCAACCCTGTAGGGGAAGGCAGTTGGTGACCAAGCCGGCTGAGGAGGGAAGTTGGGGACAAACAGGCTGGCAGGGGAGCAGTTAGACATCAATCAGGCTGGCATGGGAGTGGTTAGGGGGTGACTAGGCTGGCAGGCAGAAGTAATCAGGAAGGCAGGCAGGTGAGCAGTTGGGAGCCAGCAATCTTGGATTGTGAGAGGGATGTCTGACTGCCCGTTTAGGCCCAATCCCTCAAGGGGGTCCCAGATTGGAGAGGGTGCAGGCTGAGCTGCACTGGGCCTCTAGTTTTTTTATAAGATTTCTGAAACTTTTTTTTTTTTTAACATATTGATTTTTTTACAGAGGAAAGGAGAGAGCTAGAGAGCTAGAAACATCGATGAGAGAGAAACATCGACCAGCTGCCTCTTGCACGCCCCCTACTGGGGATGTGCCTGCAACCAACGTACATGCCCTTGACCAGAATCGAACCCGGGACCTTTCAGTCCGCAGACTGACGCTCTACCACTGAGCCAAACCAGTTTCAGCGATTTCTGAAACTTTTTAAGGTGATCATTGTATAACTAAAAACTAATAGTTATTAAATGAGGAATTCCATTTGAACAATATACTAATGCTTTCAGGTTATTGTTGCTTTAATGAGTTTTATGAGCATCATACTTCCAAAATAAACTGGAAAAGATAAATAAGTTTCAGCGTAAAAGACCCTTGCAAAATAATAAGTGTTTCCTGTACTAATGTACCATCTTAGCATAGAAATTTGCCTGTAAGAGTTATTCAACAAGAACTTTTGAAACTTTGAATTATAAAAAATATATCTATCTATCTATCTATCTATCTATCTATCTATTATTGATTTTTTACAGAGAGGAGGAGAGAGGGATAGAGAGCTAGAAACGTCAATGAGAGAGAAACATTGACCAGCTGCCTCTTGCACACCCCCAACTGGGGATGTGCCTGCAACCAATGTATTAATACATGCCCTTGACCGGAATCGAACCTGGGACCTTTCAATCCGCAAACCGACGCTCTACCACTGAGCCAAACCGGTTTCGGCTGAAACTTTGAATTTTTTTATATTCATGTTTTCAAAGTTGTTTTTTATGAATTACAGCTACATATATGGTAACTCATATTTGCAATACTATTGCAAAAGACAGCCACGTCCCATTGCTCTCCCACAGGCAGTTCATCCTTGCAGCAGACTATGTTGGTGCTGACCTTCATGTTTCCAGGTGACATGAGTTTGGACTTCACCCTCTGATTCCACTTGGGAGGGTAGATGGAGCTCGGTTCCTGTCACCACAGACACCCCACCCTTCATCACAGACGAGCTCAGTAGGCTCTTCTAAACCACACCTGTACAAACTTTGTCTTCCTGGAGTCAGATGTCTTGTCCCTTCTTTGCTTGCCTCCCACACATTGCCACCAGCTGTGCAATCTGGAGATGTGTGTCCTCAGGTGCCCTGCACTCTTGGTCCCTTGGATGCATTGCCTTCAACCGCACATGCATCTGCAGCTTTGCAGCTCTCTATTCCCTCTCTGGGAGTCCTGGGTTGATGCTATTTCTTTTTTTCTTTTAATTTTTTTGGCATTTTAAAAATTTTTAAATAAATCTTTATTGTTCAGATTATTACAGGTGTTCCTTCCCCCCCCTCCCCCCCATAGCTCTCTTCCTGGTTCCCCACCCCACCCCATGCCCTTACCTCCCACCACTGTGCTCATTCATAGGTTTAAGATTTTTGTCCAGTCTCTTCCCGCACCCCTCACACCCCCTTCCCCATGAGAATTGTCAGTCCACTCTCTTCCTATGTCCCTGATTCTATTATAGCTATCAGTTTATTCTGTTCATCAGATTTTTTATTCATTTGATTTTTAGATTCACTTTTTTGTCACTTTTTTCATAATTTTTATCTTTACCTTTTACTTCTTCCTCTTCTTAAAGAATACCCTTCAGCTTTTCATATAATCCTGGTTTGGTGGTGATAAACTCCTTTAGCTTTTTTTTTTTTTTTTTTTTAATAAATCTTTATTGTTCAGATTATTACAAATGTGATCCTCTTCCCCCCCTCAATTGCTCCCCTTCACCAGGTTCCCACCCCACCCTCTGTCCTTTCCCCATCCCCCATTGTCCTCATCCATAGGTGCACAGTTTTTGTTCAGTCTCTTCCCGCACCCCCACTCCCCTTTTCCCTGAGAATCGTCAGTCCACTCCCCTTCCATAC